CCTCTTACAAGGTTATAAAGGAGACTTACCTCGCTCCGAAGTTCCATAACCGGCATTCCACGCCCTTCCGAAGACTCGAATCGATGCACAACGCTCCAAAAATAGCCAATAATTATGCAAACCCATTAATATATGCTCAATTACTCATTATAATCCAATTTATAATAATTTCTAACCCCGATCGAAAAGTCGATAAAAATTACCTGCGGGCCCACGTGCCCGGATTCCGAAATTTTTTCGAAGATAAACTTTACCCATAACCTCACGTACTCAAATATATAATTTACTCTCAATTTCATGTCCAAAATCGTGGTCAAAATCCAAGAATACCAAATTCCTAGATTTTTCCTCAAACCCCAAATTCCCACTCCATGTTAAGATCTACACATAATCAATGTATTTAACTCATAGTAGGTGGGGATAGCTTACCTTTCCATTGATGATGAGAACCCCCTCTTGAAATCCTCCAAGAATCGCCCAAACCAAGAGAAAAATGAAGGAAAATGGGCCAAATCCCGTTTTAAAAAGAACATACTGTCTCCAGCCTTTTCCGCACCTGCAGTCACTTGACCACTTCTGCGATTCCGCAGGTGCGACCCCACTACCGCATCTGCGGTCCTTCACCAGGCCCTCACTCCGCTTCTGCGCTTATCCTTCCGCAGGTGCGGTCCCGCTTCTGCGGCAAGGTGACCACATCTGCGGTCCCAGCCTTCTCCCTTCTCAACCGCATCTGTGCTCCTATGGCCGCTTCTGCGGCTCTGCACCTGCGGCCAAGACCTCGCAGGTGCGGTTACACCAGATGACAGCATGCTTCAGCTCTTCCTCCCAACTCCAATTCGATCTGTTAACCACCCGGAATCCACTTGAGGCCCCGGGACCCCGTCCAATCGCACCAACCAGTCCCAAAGCATAACGCGGACCTGCTCGAGGCCTCAAACCACATCAAACAACGCTAAAACCATGAATCGCCCTCCAATTCGAGCTTAATGAACTTTAGAATTTCAAACTTCTTCATTCGATGCCGAAACCTATCAAATCACGTCCGATTGGCCTCAAATTTTGCACACAATCCATATTCGATATTATGGACATACTCCAACTTCCGAAATCTGAATCCGACCCCAATATCAAAAAGTCCACTTCCGGTCAAACTTCTCAAAAACCTTCAATTTCTAACTTTCGCCAAATGACTCCAAAATGATCTACGGACCTCCAAATCGACTTCCGATCGCACTCCCAATTCCAGAATCACCATACGGAGCTATTCCCAGACTCGAAATCCCAAACGGATATCGATAACACTGAAATGCACTTCAACCCAAACTTATGAAATTCTTCCAAAATACTAACTTCCTCAATAGCCGCTGAAATGCTCCCGGGTCATCCAAAACCCAATCCGGACATACGCCCAAGTCCAAAATCATCATACTAACCTGCTGGAACCTTCAAATCCTGATTCCGAGGTCGTTTACCCAAAAATTCAATCTTAGTTAATTCTGCCATCCTAAAGCTTTCGAAATGAGAATTTCTTTTCAAATAAACTCCGAACTTCCCGAAATTCAATTTCGACCACGCGTACAAGTCATAATACCTGAACTGAAGCTGCTCATGGCCTCAAACCGCCAAAGAACGCACTAAAGCTCAAAACGACTGGTCGGATCGTTACACTGCTGAATGAGAAGGACGGATCTTCAATCTATAGAACTTGAAACCTTTTCCTATAAGAAAAAGGACTAGCCAAATATAGAAGAATTATATTTTCCTTCTGGGAAAAGAAAAACCCAATTATGGTAAATATGTTGTCCTTTCCTTCATGAGATAGGAAATGGTAAGAAAATTTTGCCAAACACCTAACAATTTTTGGGGTGAGCCCAGGGGCGAGGCGCACCAAAAATGCCCCGAGACGATGGTGGGAGACGAAAGTCTCAAAGGGCGTATGCCCAGGAATTCGGGGCGTTGAGGCGCGTTTTTATAGTGAGGCGTAAGCCCAAGAGACTTCTTCAAATTTAAATAAAATTTGCTGAATAAGTCCTTAATATAATACCCAATTTCTCAAAAATCAGCTTGTACTTACTCAAAAGTTTTAAAAAGGAACTTAAATATTAAATTTAAAAGTCAAAACTTTTTTATGGTATTTCTCAATACTTTATCTTGTCTACTTGTCTGCATACTATCTCCCAAATGCACAAACAATCACTTTTTTTGCAAATACAAAGAAAACTATATTCTAAAGTTAAAATTGCAGTTTAGTCATTCTTTTTGTTCCTTTATATAGAAAATTTTATTCTTTCAACTCAAGAAGAGAGGCTAGATAAAGTGAAAAATATTTTGACATTTGAATGTTGAATTATTCATTTTGTTCCCAACTGAGAGTTGATGTAAATATGCTGAACTTTTTAAAGCAAATTTGTGCTTGTAGCATATAATGGATGCTTTAGTTAGTTTTTTTTATAGGGATGGAATATATCTAGATATATTTTCACTTATTTATGATTGTCTTCAATTTCTTATGCAATTTTACGTACGGCCTTGCTAAAATATATATAAAAATCCCCGCCTTACGCCTATACCTTTTAAAACACTCCTTCTAATTTATAAGTGGCGCACAATTTAATGCACTTGGTCATTTACACGTTTGTAGTCACTATTTAGAGGTTAAATTTTTTTCCCCTTATGATGAACGGAGTTGAAATAAGAGAAAATTCCAAAAGTGAAATGAACAGCAAGTTTTATGAAAGTTATGTCCACATATCACCACTTTTATCACTTTTGCTCTTCCCTGCTAATGGCTTTCATCATATGCAACATTACTCTGCCAACACTTGAGCCACTTGTTCGGTCATAATTGACTCACAAATTCCCTTCGACCTCAAATATTACTGTAATTAGTTTAATAAATGGAATCTTTTTTTTAATATTTGACGTTTTAGAGAAATAATAAGTCATATATTATTTTAATTAATAGAATATTAATTAAGTAAAACGTTTAAAAGATAGATATAAAATAAATAAGGAATTTTTACCTCCTATAGCAAAGGTTAACACCTTATTTATTTTAAATAAATACCATTTAAATAAATTATATTCTATAGATACCTTTTAAGGTTTATAGCAAAATATTTAATTTTGGTTACCTCCTAGCCCTAAGCCACTAAATACGCTAATCAGTTATAATATTTTCTTTCTCTCTCTACTTTGATTCATCCCATTCTCTTCCCCCATCCCATTAAAATTTCCGATTTTCTTCCTCTTCTCTGTCTAGCCAACGATTCTTTCCCTTTCATAAAACAACCAAATTCCTTACGAAATATTCGAAGACCAAGAGGAGTAAA